ATTAATAATGTTACCAAATTAAATCTTAGTTAAATAAATTATATCCTTATTGACCTAATTGCCGAGGATGAGGAAATTCAACGACTTAGATGTCAAGTTTTAAAGAAGGGTGGAAAGGCGAAAAAATAAATAATTAATTACTTAAATAATAATAAATAAATAAATGAATAAAAGTAAAAATGCAGAGACGGGTGGTCGGGTAAATAGCGGTTTGTTATTGGGCAATTTTCAGAACAATATATTAAGTTGGTTAAATCCCTGATTCAGTCCCCTCAACTTTCATTTTTGAACTAAATTTACCCTCGAACTTCAAAAAGTACTAAAAAAATCTTTGAACTTCAATTTTCGATACCAATTTCGTCCTTCCGTCGACAAAAGTGCGAGATGATACGTTAAGTTGCCACAAAATCAATTCTTGTTTGAAATCTTTGATTATGTGGAAAATAACTTAACTTATTATTATCCACATCATTTTAATTAATTTATATATTAAAAAATTTAAAATTCCTTAAATACCCCATCTTCATCTTCCATCCCCTCTCGTCTCTCTCTATCCTCAGATGTCTCCTTAGATGTCTCCTCAGCTTGCAACCCAATCAACACCGATCATCCCTCATTGCTCCGATCATCTATTACCACTCCAATCACCATCTACTTCTTCCCCAAACCTCCTCTCTAATAGAACCCAAATCTAGTTCCTCACACAATAATAATGACCAATAGATCAGATTCAAAAAATCAATTCCTCTGCAAATGTATACCGGATCTGTAAAGAAAAATGTAAAAAACACAACATCCCTTCAATCAACACCAACAATAACTAGATCTTGAAATTCAAGCAATCAGAAGCCACACAAAACTCTAAATCACATACCAAGATAGCCAAGTATGATTGCAGCCAACAAAGAAACAGAAGAAAAAACCTAAGCGGGTTTGACTCAAACCTAGGCTCTGGGATCGGAACCCAAGCGTATTGGGTTGAACCCAAGCGCTAGGTTCCATCGAACCCAGGCGTGCTGGGTTTGAAGGAACCCAGCACTTGAGTTCGAGGAACCCGCGCCTGGGTTCGAGGAACCCGCGCCTGGGTTCGAGGAACCCGCGCCTGGGTTCGAGGAACCCGCGCCTAGGTTCGAGGAACCTAGGCATCGGTGCTGGGTTCCTTCGAACCCAGTAGGGAGGGGAAAGAGAAAAGGAAGGAGAAGGAGAAAAAAAAAAAAGGAAAGGAAAGAAAAAAGAAAGAAAGGAAATTTTTATTTATTAAATTATATTTTTAATGCCAAGTCACAATATTTTTATAATTAAAAATGCCACTTCACTTGTTTTATTTTCAAGTAACATTTAATATTAATAAAAATTGAATTTGTTAATGAAAAATTTTGCCATGTCAGCACTTAACTGACAGAAGGACAAAATTGATTTCAAAAATTGAAGTTTAAGGATTTTTTTAATATTTTTTGAAGTTTAAGGGTAAATTTAATTCAAAAATGAAAGTTGATTGACCGAACCGGGGATTTAACCATTAAAGTTTGTGATGCCTTCCGTGGAAGTCACGGAGGAAGTTTCCAATTGAAACTTCTGATCATACGCCTGTCCTGCTATGCCACCGTGAAGTTTCCCAGACTTTGACTAACTCACCCAAAAAAGAAAGGGCTAAAGGAAAAATCACACGGCCAGAAACTAGCTACTCAGATTTTGTTGCTATTTTAATTTTTAATAGAAAGCTCAAAAAAAAAAGTTTCGTCCTTACCCTTAGAGCATCCATCATAATTCTCTGTTAAATAAATTTTAAAGATAATATTCATTTACAAATAATTATAACAAATGTCTTAAATATCAAGACTGCTATCTTCATATATCTACTTTTAATAATGCTTGTCTTTTCCTCCAAAAAGTTTTTAAAGTTAAATAAATAATTTATTTAAAACCAACTTTAAAGCATGCTATGCCAAATGAATCATTTTTTATTTAAGTTTTTCAATTATGTGCTGTCTTTTTTTTTTTCGAACATTAAAAATTATGGAAAAAAAAAATTTTTAAGTAGTTGGTGAAAGTTAAATTTTTAACCAATTGAATCTAAATATTAAGATTAATTGAATCTAAACACTAAAACTTAATAATAAACTATTAAACAAAAAAGGTCAGTTCAATTCTGTGCTTTAAGATATAATAAATATATAAGATTAATATTTATTAATTAGATTTGTAAAAGAATTAAATGAAAAAATATTTAAAATTATGTTGTTTCAATAAAACATTTTAAAAAATTAGAACAACATAATTCTTGCTTTAAAAATTATGATATTATAGTTTTTTTAATGAATATTTATTAAGATGACATAATTTTAAATATTTGTTTACATCATGTATAGTTGTTATACACTTTTTCCTAATTATATTTACTAACTATTACTCCCTCCGCACCTGTGCCTCTAGGCCCACTGGCATTAACCAGTTTGCTAAGTGCATTCCCTTCTCCCCTGAACGGGTTTTGAACCCGCCCCGTG